CCAAGCAGGGAGACCTTCACCCAAGGTCAGGTCCATTAAAATGTCCTTTTAGATGGTAGGAACCCAGTCTTCTGGTTTATCATGAATGGAATAATACGGGAGCTCACAAAATATAAATAGATCGTAATGAACAAAAAATTGCTTATTGTTTCTGCTGTCACCCAACCCCGCAGGTGTCACTCTGGTGGGCGTGGAGAGAGCCTCTGGAGTTGTGAAGGTGATTCTGAGGCTCCGTCGGCTTAGAGCAAGGAACAGAGTCAGAGGGACCATCTAGCAGAGAGCTGTGTGCAGCCGGGGGGAGCCAGGGAGGGCAATAGATTAGGGGAGAGGCCAGCTGTGTCCCCCCCCCCCAATCCACACACAGCAGCATGTCTTCATTCCATTTTCTGTCTGGGGGCTCCGTGAGAGTGGCACACGGGTTCTTATGCTAAAACAACATAAAACATCGGCTATAATTATAAGAGACCTCCCCAAACAGAAAAGAAGAAAATACTGGTTGCAAGCAGATTGCCTGGAAGTGGCCAACGTTTGCCTCGTCTTCCCGCCTGCTCTGAGAAGGAGAATGTGCCTTCTCGGAGTCGCTGACGGGCATACTGTTTCAACACTCAAAGCTGTTGGGTTGGAGAACCGAAGTGCTTATCTCAGCAGTGAAGTTGGCCCTGAGCGTAGAGCTGTTCGCGAGGAAAGATAAGGTAAGAAAGAGCACGATACCTCGCAGGTGAAGGAACAGAGCCGGGTGATTTAAGTCAGGCAAGAATGGGTATGTTGAGAATGATTAAATAGGAAGGGGGCGTTCTGAAAACTCTAGTCTGTGCATGGTTGAGACTGGCGATTTACTACGTGGCCGGAAGGGGAGCTATGTGTGTGCGTGTGTGTGTGTGTGTGTGTGTGTGCGCATACATGCCTGTGGGAAATGGGTCATCCTTTCCAGATGGGGTAAGCCACCCTGTCCCTCTCTAGCACTAGGGTTGTCCCCCACCTCAGAGGCTCAGTGGTATGTGCCATTGGTGGAAGATTTGCTCAAATGTAGGCACAGAAGTGATGGCAAAAGGCATGATCAGAGAGGTGCCATGCAAATCTGTTAGGACAACTATCAGTGTCAGATCTCCTAGACAGAACCTTCGGAGCCCATGAAACTTCTCCTTGGGGCATTCAAAGATTCCTGGGAATCTAATCTAAGTCAAAATGTAAGGATTTGGGGAACATGGCATTTAGAGGGGAGTAGGCTAGGAGGAAGACGTTATTTATGAATCCTAGTTCTTTATTTGACTCTAGCCAGCGTAATTGGTGATCATGTTCTGCTCTATGTAACCTTCCTTCCACCATAGACAGAACTTCTCATTGCTGTCTGTTCTACAGTGATGTTCTCGTGTGGCTCTCACTACACAGTTGTCAGGTTCTGCCCCGGAGGTAACTCCATGTCACGAAGAGGGGATGATAGACAGAAATATACACAAACACACACTTGCCTTCAAAAATAAATATAGGGCCTCTAGTTAAAAGGTGCTTTGTAAAGTAAGCAAGCATCCTCTTTCTCACAAAGCAAGCACAGAATTCTCATTAACCTTGTAACCACAGCCTGTGTTGGTATTAAGATTCAGACCCCTTAGGGCTTTATACTTGGCTTGGAGAGATTCTTTATCTTGGCCTTGATTTAGGAAGTAAGGTCTCCTGGGGTTCTTTGGTTCTATGTCTACTAGAAAAGAGGAGTATCCTAGTAGACAACCCAACTGAACTCAGGGTCCCGGGCTATTGCCTACTGCCTGGTCTGGTGTGCTCTACCTTTCTTTTCTTCTGTGGGAACCAGCATCAGGACCTGATTCAAGTGTCTTTGTGCAGAACTGGGAGAGGGAGATGGGGCCTTGGGTCTGCAGGGAAGACCAGAAAGAGTAACTGGGTTTGTAGAGCTGGTTCCCAATCCCAGTATTATCTGGATCTTGACCTGAGAGCAACCTGCATTTTCTTCCTCTCTCTTAAGACTTCCCATCTGTAAAGCTCAGGCAGTTGGCTCTGTCTCAGCACTCTGTTCACATTCCTGTGTCTTCTTCAATCTCTCCCCGCACCCCCCTCCCCGGTCCTGGGAGCACAGAATGGAAGGCATCTGTGTTAGGATTGGAGGTCTGACATGATAACGAGAACCTTGCCTGATTCCTCCTCAAGAAGGTTATGACTTTCAGAAAACAAAGGACGTATCTGTGTAAAGGCTCTGGTGCACTTGATGTTTTTGTGGTTACACTTGTAAATTTCATATGCAGGAGAGACGTGCTTGATGTATTTTGAGACTCTTGCAACAGAAGGTCTCAGCCCTAAATCCAACTTGTAGCATTCTCAGTGAAAAATCAGGACTTCCACCCATTTTTTCTCTGTCGATCTATCTATTGATCTATCATCTATCAGTCCATCATCTAATTTGATGCAAGTGCTTTCTTGTTGAAATTGACCATAGGTAGGGTGAAAGACCTTATACTCTGAAGAAATTTCTCTATGGATTTAACATGCCAAAAAAAAAAAAAATCCAGGTTGGGTGTTTTTTGGGTGGGGGGAGGGGGAGAGGAAGTATTGTTTTTGTCCTTCTTCTAGGAGGTTCAGCTAAGATCCAGGTAAAGAAAAGAACCAATACTTGACAAGAACCCAGTACTAGATACATCGCTAGGTACTTTATATACATGAAGACACCACAAATAGAATAGCTGGTGAGTATGAGGTAACATCTTTCCATCCCCTTCCACTGCCACCATCCCCAAATGGCTCTTCTGGGGACTGCCTTATGGGAGTAGTCCTTTGATGGAAAATAGCAGGAGAAGAGTGAATAAAGGAACGCAGATGTACTCGGAACTCTTCAGCTAGGAATGAAAGGGACTGTAAATTTTAAGTGGTTGGACCTGGACCAGTAAGCCACACCACTTTTGGGATTGTCTTTAAAGTGTACCCTCTTGACCACACAGCCCCTCGCTGCCACCTGCCCCACCACGGTCTCAGGTTCATCTCAGGCAAAATCGTAAAGAAGGCCAAGTTCACTTCCTGGAGTCACACTGGCACTAATAACAGCCCACAGCACCCCGCCCCCAACACACACACACACACACACACACACACACACACACACACACCCTCACACACATGTGCACGTGCGTGCACACACGCACACACAAGTGCACGCGCAAGTACTCCCCAGTGGGTGGAGGTGCTCCTTGAGATTGCTCCTGATTCATCTCTCAAGCTAAACATCATCAGTCTATTCCCTCAGGGCTCTGCTCTCAGATCTGGAGCTGATAAACTAATTGGGGCTAATGTGATAATGCGCAGTAATGACATTTACTGTTTTTATCAGACATTTGCATTTTAACAGGGCCCTTGGGAAACACACAGGTGGACAACAGGGGAGGGTGGCGATGTTTGGTGGAGGCTAGGAGGCAAAGGGGTTTTTCAGGGCTGCCTAAATTGCCCTCCCCAAACCTTCCAAACCTCCGAGACCTGCCCGAGTTCCAAGACCCTCCCCAATGCACCCCTGCTCTCCCACCAAGTTTTTCACACATTCCCAAACCTCTGCATTCAGATTACATAAAGTAGGAACACAGGCAAGGAGGGAACATTGCTTTCCCTCACCATTCCACCTGAATAGCACAAACACTTACTTCTTGTTCTATTCAGTCTTTGCCCACATACACACTTTCTTTTTTATACAAGGAACTTCTTGGTTTTGATCACAAAATCTTTGTTTCTTTGCCAAAACTCAATTTCCCTTTTCTTTCCCACAAAGGGGAGTTCTGATGAGTTAAAGAAGTCTGCATGGACCTTTGGCTCATGTCAGGCCAGTGTCCAGGAAGACCCAAGAGAGAAAGTTAATGGTTAGGGGGTGGTATTTTTCCTCACCAGCAGCCGTCACTCACCTACATGGCGGGAATGCATTTGTGACCCAGTGAAGCAGGCCCTTGGCCCAGGGGAATGGGGGTTGCCAGGGCACTTGAAATTCATGGATCCTCTCCAGGATACCCCCTTGTAGAGACTAGGACTGTATAGTTCTTGTCCACACTGTTTTCTTTTCTTTAAAGATTTTTTTTTTTAATTTATTAATTTGATAGAGATCACAAGTAGGCAGAGAGGCAGGCGGGGGCGGGGGATAGGCTCCCCACTGAGCAGAGAGCCCGATGCAGGGCTCAATCCCAGGACCCTGGGATCATGACCTGAGCTGAAGGTAGAGGCTTTAACCCACTGAGCCACCCAGGCGCCCCATTGTCCACACTGTATTGTTTTATTTCCAGTTTCAGCTCTTTTTCTCTCTAGTTCCTTCCTATAGGGAGTGTCAACGTAAAAAAAACCCAGGTAAGTGTCAAGAAGGGATAAAGAAGCTGGGTGATCCTCCAACCGGATCGTCAGCCCTTGAGGGTTGACTGTTCTTGCCTGAACAGCTCAGAGTGGACCCTCCCTCTCAGGACTCTTCCTTCAGATTTCCCAAAGCTCTTATCTGGAGCTGGGGTCGGGGGGAGAGTGACTTTTCCAAGTCCATTGACGTCGCCAAGTGTCTCTGTCAAAGACGCCATCATGGTGCCTGCGGAGAGCCCCATCAGACCCTGGTACCTGCACGGCCAGGGCACAGGTCTTAATACCAAAGCAGAGTTGACTAAATACAGATTAGTACACGAGACAGGTGTTTAAGAGGGTCCCCACTCCCCAGTACCATCATATCCTCCATGTTTGAACCTCTGCTTAGTTCGCTTCTACATGTCTTGGGGGAGATGGTGTCTTTGGGGGGCTAGCACGGCGCTTTTCACCCGAAACAGTCTCTAAGCTGAAAAGAACAGTCACCACCAAATCAATTCCTCATCCATTAACAGGTCGTCTCTCTGTTCTTGAGACACAGGCATAACCTGGTTAGACCTGTTTTGTTTGAACACTAACGTGTGAGTTGGCCAAATGCAAATGAGCCAATGTTTGTAATCCTTTATTTTATTTTTTTAAAGAGCCCGGCAGCCAATCAGAAGAGGGGGAAGTGACTTAGGGAATTCCCGGTTGGTGGCTTATTGCTTAACATCCTACAAAATGATTTAAAATTATTGTCATATGCATTTATCTTCACTTTGATGAGGGCTCAGACGTGATAACACCTGTGGTTCCCTGTCCCCGTGGGAGCTGGCGTGCGGGCTGCCTGCTGCCTCCCCTCCATTAGCCACAGCTATTGGATTTCCCACCCAGAATCTTTAGGTAAATGAGGTAAGTCTTTTATTTTTAAACCTTCTTTGGAACCTGGAATTCGAACACCTGAGTGGAAAGGGCAGCCTGCCTTGAATCAGATGAAAATAAAACAGGCTCCCGGAGGCAGCTGGCAGGAAGTGCAGCTCGCCTCACCTGTGCTTACCTCACTGGGGCCGGTTAGAGTCTTATTTTGGGAGGCAGCTGGGCTTCTTCGGATATTATCTGTGAATTTGCTTCATTGAGTCTGGACTTCCAACCACCACGAATTTAAAGAGTTCCCTGGTTTCCCTCTCTCTGCGTGGCAAAGCCATGTCCCTGGGTTGAGTTCTGAAACAAACAGAGATAGATGACCGTGAGATAACCCGGTGAAACACGGGGTTGGCTGAATAGCCATTGGGGCTCAGAGCACATGTTCTCACTTTCCAGAGACGTCTCCTCTTGGTAGTTTTTCTGACTCACCGGTCAGAGAGAAAGGCAGGTTTGTCTTTGGTGTAATCACGTTGTTGGAAAATGGCTGGAAACGGGTGGCGGCATATGCACTCACGCTGGAAAAAGTGGTCAGGCAGGCCAAGGAGGTGAGGACCCTGGGGAGAGCTGAACACTTAAAAACGGCTCTTTCCAGAAAAAATGACGAAGGATTTTGCCACATTGCAAGGGAACAGACCAACCCTTCGTTTGTGCCATCATGGGCTACTAAGACCGGACAGGCGGACGTGAGTCAGCAGCACGAAATGCCTTCCAAAACAGGGACTCTTTTCATTTGTTTGACCACCAAAGAGAAGCGTAGTTGGTCTCAATGTGGGTAGAACTGGGAACAGTGTGGACTTACATTGGCAGTAAATAACAACATCGAGTCAGGAAAGTAACATTTTCACTGCCTGCCTTTGAGTGTTGTGGAAGGATGTGTCTTTCTAAGATGAACTGGGAGACCCCGTGCATCTATGTTCACAGGTGTCGCTGCTAGTCATCTGCGCTGACCTTAGTCACAGGGAGAAAGTGGGGGATTTTGGATTGAGAACTTTTCCATGGAGGACTAATTCAGGAATTGGTTCTGCAGGCATGGGTGTGAAGATGTCTTCAGATAGAGACTTTCAGTGTGTAAAAGGGTAGACAAGGACCACAAGTGGCCATGCATTCACGCCATGGAGGTCAAGGGACGTGTTGATTTCCAATAGGGAAGATGAAGTCATTAGGAAGCACTTCATGGGTAAGATGTCCCACCAGAAAGAGGCTCTTCAGAGATTTCAAGAGTAATTTTAACAGCTGTATTTGAAATTGACAGAAGGTTTCACTTGTCATCTTTTGGAGATCAAGCATTCTGAGACTATGAAATAAGTCATCCATTCTGTGTTCTTATAATCCAGCGTGGCGTAGGACCTGTCATTTCTACACCAACTGCTGACGACTGGTGTGGATGGATGTGAAAAACCAAGGGAACCTGAAATGAGGGTCCCTGGGAAGTCTGTGATCACAATGGAAAAAATAACAAATATAATGGAGACAATCTTTCTTCACGTTTCGAAGTATTTTATAGAAATGTTTTAAAAGAAAATAACTTGGAGGGCATGAATGCTGTAGGTTCTCTTGCATTGCTGTTCAGGATGGCGGCATTAGGCCCCTTCTAGAATGACTGTGGGCAGAGCAAGGAATTTGATTCAGGCCTTGTATGTACGGAAGATCGCAAATTCAATTCTATTTTGTCCTTTCGTGTTAGAAAGCATCTGTTTGTTAAATTCAAACAACAGGTTTTTGATCGTTTTTCTCCATTTTTTAATATATTTTGAGCTCCCCCAAATGGAAATGTCTTGGATCTTTCTGGACCTCTGAGAAGCCCTACATTCACACTTAATGGTTCCATGCCCTTTTGGCTCCCATTAAATTACCTCTTTCAATATCTTTTTGACCCTTGAGACGCTGAGACAAAAAGGAAATTGAGAGGTTAAAATATTTACTCAACTGTATTCAATTAGCTAATTGGAAAGTGGAAGAAACTCAGATTGGGTCCCAGGTCAGAATGTGAGTGCTTTGGGCCAAAGTTCGCTTCCAGAAAGTAGAATTTAGCTTTCTGGACTCTTGTAATGTTTTATGTTCTCCTCATTCTCCCCCTGCTCCACAAATTAGGGAATTTTAGCCCTGGGCTGTATGCTTTAGACCGCCTCTGCTCAATGCCAAAGCATCAGGCACAGACAGAAAAGGTTAAACAAATCATTTAGAAACCCTTCACTCTGTTCCCCTTTCTCCAGGTGGAGGCCTCTCTACCCCGCTTTCCAAGAGATGTGATTTTCAGAGAACCCTGGGCGGTGGGGTGGGGTGGATACCAAGAAAGTCACAGCAGAGCCGGCTAACGAATTTGAGGAGTAACACCACGGTTGTAGGAAACCAAATGTGAACTTGGAACTTGATATCGGTGACACCTTTTGGTGGCTGTTTCAGCCCATTTCCCTAGTTTGAGATCTCTTTCTGGTAAAACTGAAGTGATAGTCATTCCTGCTTGGGTGGGGCTCTGGTCGGGAGGCACGGAGTCCACTGTGGGCTCTGTGTTTAGGGAGTGCGCGTTGCCGCCCTGGTTTGTTACCGGGTAACTGATGCCATGTCGAGGCTTCCAGCTTGAGTAAACTGAGTCTGTGGTAGGGAGTTGCCCTCTGAAGACAGAGGGAGGATGGCAAGCACAATCTTGCCAGTGTTGTCTTAAATCTGTTGCCGAACAATGGAAGAGATGAGGACGATAATTAATTTTATTTAGTGTTTTCTTGTCTTATTTTTAGTAATACGATTTTAAATAACATGATCTGTTTGAAGGTGACTGGGCTCTCGCTAGACATAGGTGACTATATCATGTTTGTTTCAGTTTGATGGGGTTTTAAAAGACCAAGTTACTGGGGTGTGCAGGGAACAAATAATGCAGTGGAGATATTGGCTCCCACAGCAGCTAATATTAGGGTGAGGCGTATGTTCAAGCCAAATGGCATTGATGTCAGGAAGCTGAGAGGTGCTAGAGTAGAAATTTCCATGGATCCCTTAGAGTTATTTGATAAAAAATGTATCGGGCTGCAGAGGGGAAGAAAAAAAAATTTCTTCAAGAATCTTCCCCCAGAGAATTTCAGACTTACATTTTGGAATGATGGGAGTGGAGTGTGCATAAGGCAGTCCACCAGACTGGCAGTCAGGAGACCTGGTTTTCTAGTCCTGGCAAAGCCGGGTGCCCAGGGCGGCACACCCCACCTCTCTGGGCTTTAGTTCCTTCCTCCAGACAAAGGCATTTGAACCTGATTATTTTTAAGATCTGTTTCCACCTTCAGATTCTGATGCTGGGAGAAGGCAGGTAAGCCTAGCAGTCAGCAGGTGTTGCTTGAGTCTGCGGCAGCTGAGAAGGGCTGGGGGATACCCTGGTAAGGATGACACAGGCAAAAAGGTCAGCGGGAGCCCTTCCTTAAGGTCTTTGGAACTTGGCTGAAGGGATATCCCCGGGGGAGGTACGACGCCCAGATTCCTGGAGTCTTCATTAAGGGTGTCAGCGTCTGCTCGCGTGACAACGTCTCATCTCTATCAGTGTGCCTCGGGCGTCCGAGGTGGGTGGGGGTGTGCAAGTGGACCAAAGCGCATGGCCACGGGGCGCTCTGATGCTGTCTTCTGTAGGACACCAGAGTAGCCCGCTGAAAACATTCGGGCACCCGGAGGAGCCCACGCCGTTTGAGGGGTGCTGATCAGCTTGCTTGACTGGCTGCCCAGTGATTATCGGCCAGAGACGGACTCCCATCTCCTAGAGGAGAACTGAGACGAAAGCAGGAGAGCATGGCCGGCCCGGCTGCTGGACAGCCCCCCTGGAGACTTGGTGTTCTCAGAGGGCCTCAGCCTGAATCTGGAGTAACCAGACCTTGCAATAGGGTCAGACAGGGTGGCCCATTTAAGGAGGCTCCAGGGGGGTTAATTGGTCTTGTTTTGAAAGAGACACCCTGTAAAATACTCCTTTGAAAATTCATTTCGCTAGCACCTAACCACACTCGGTCTTCAGTTTGTTTTGTGGGTTGGGCGCCTTGTTCTGGTTCATTGGATTCACATTATCTCTCCTCTTCCTATCTTCCTGCACACCCTGACCCTTAGAGCCTCCTTCTCTGTCTTTCTTAGAAGCATCTTCATCATTATTTAGAGTATCTACCTATTTATTTAAAACATGTTTTCTGAGGAAAACAAAGCCAAAAAATAAAAAGGAACCTAAATGCTTATCATAATATTTTTAGACACCTCCTCATTAACCTCATTATTTTACCATAGCTGCTTATTTTTACTTTTGTCTGACCTCGTCTAGATGCCCACTTTTTTTTGAAGTTGTTGTGATTGTGGTGACCTTAAAATTACATCTTTTGTCACTTCCCCCTCACTCTGTGTCATGGACACACCACAAACAGTCTTGAGGGCTGGGTCTCATTGGGTCAACCGTGGATAAGAGAAGTTTCTGCCAGCCTGCCTGCCCTTTCTCAACTTGATACAAACGTCTTCTAAGAGCCTATTGGGTCTTTCATGGAACACAGAGAGGGCTTTCTACATTTAGTATATGACAATGGAGCTTGGAGAATATGGTTGTCTTGTAGAGATTATTTTGCGATCCCTCTCAGGAACCTTTGAAAATACTCCCTCGGGAGGACCAACAATAGATTCTGGTAGATGAGTTTAGTGAGGTCTGGAAGGTGAAGGCTATTTTCTGCGCAGTCTTCATGATAACCACTCACAAGATTTGTTCTGTCTTTGCAGGGGGCTTCAGACTGGGCCCCAAGTTCAGCCAAATGTCCCAGCTCACATTTCACCTGTCTTAACTCCACCAGCTGGAAGGCTGTGGGTGGAACGACGTTGACGAACAGTAGTAGACTTTGGCCGCTTGTGTATCTGAACCGGGCAGGAGGCTATGAGATTTTGGTTGCCTGGAAGCAGCTGGAATGTGTTACAGAGAATACCAGGTCTAGAGTCAGAGTACCTGGGTTCAGTTTTGACTCTGCCACTGAGTAGCTGAGTGAGTTTGGGTG